TTTTTTTTTTTTAAAAACCTTTTTTTTTTTTTTTTTTTTTTTTTATAAATTAAATAATATAATAATAAAAGCAATTTATTAATTTTCAGTGTTGGGGAAAGTTACTTTTAAAAGTAATGCATTACAATATTGCGTTACTCCATAAAAAAGTAACTAATTACCTTGCTTAGTTACTTTTTATGGAAAGTATTTTACTTTTTTTTTTTTTATTATGTGCATATGCTGGAAAATACAGTTTTAGAGTAGCTTCACCAGTCCAGTGTTTTTTTAATATTATTTATAGACTATTAAAAAAAGACAAAAAAAAACAAACATGCAAAACATTGTTTACCGTCTTTATGAATCTTTTTTTTTTTTCACTTTCAAGTTTTAAAAAAGTACTTTTTTAAACACTTTTGAGGATATTTCTGTACGAGGTATTGTCAGATTTCAGTAACTTCTTCCAATGATAACTTATAAGTAAACCCACACATTAAATTTAATTTGGCTCTCATTTCATTCACTTTGCTTGACATAGAAGTCAAGAAATGACTTGCATCTGATGCTGCGTGCATCTGACTGTTAAACGGGCTGCCGGTGACTCAGGCTTGAGTCATGAGTTTAACAGGAGGCAGCGGCGTGTGAATGAGATGCTCGTTATAAAGTTAGTTGTGGAGCGGGTCAGTTGTTAAAAAAAACCTGCGGGACACAAAACGCCTGAGGCACAAAGACCGAACCCAACCACAAACGTTACAAACATATATCTGACACATAACTAAAATGCACTTGGTCCCTGTGTGAAGCTTTGGAGTTATGTATATGATGATCTCATACCAGTTTGTTTACTTGTTTGTTTTTCTTTTCCTTTATTTTTGTGTTGTTGTATAACTGTTCAACAAAGCATGTTAATTGCTTAGAATTTAATTGACAAGTAAAGCATAAAAATGTCACACATAACATATCCACGGACTTAAAAAAAAAAAAATCAAAATCATTTTCGTTTAAATGTACTGAATGAATGTGTATGCCAAGTTTATCTATGCTCCTGTCCTGTAACGTGACCCTTATGACTGGTTTTGTGCTCCAGGGTCACAATTATATGTAAATAACTATTTTAACTTAGATTTCATTTTATTTTCATTGCAATTTTAGTTTCATTTAGTAATTTTAGTTTTAGTAATTTTATTGTGTAATTGTCATTTTTGTTGGTCTTAATTTTATATATACATTTTAATTTTAATTTAGTTGTAGTTTTTTTTTCTTTTACTTTTTTAATTTACTGTTTATTTTTGTTTTAATTATATTTTTAGTCATTTTTGTGCTTTTAGCATTTTTATGAGTTTAGCTTTTGATATTATGTTAATTTATCTTTAAAATATTTTTATTTTAGTTGTAATTTTAATATTGTTTATTTTTTATTAAAACTTAAACTTACTTATTTTAGTTATATTTTATTTAGTTTTATTTCAGATTTATGTCCAGTAATGAAAATAATTAGTTATATTTTCAGTTGATAACGATGCACCAGTCTTAGATCAGCTCTCCTCCGACTCTCTGGGTCTTCTGCACACTTTTGTCTGGTTTATTTGCTGTTCTCTGCTGTGTGCTGACGAGCACGTAATGACACTCGTCTCTCATCTCTTATACGCGGCCCCGGGGCCCACCGGTTCATTTACTGCTGGTGTGTCTGCGGTCTGGAGCCGGTGTGAGCGGATCAGGGGCCTGAACGTCCCCCACAGGCTTTCATTAGACAGAGAACGTCTGAAGAAGGTATGAAAGATGTGCATAAGTCAGAGGGGGGCACGCCGGTTAAAGAGCTGCGAATACTGCATGCATCTCCTCTGGAGAGGAAAAATAATCACATATAACAGCCTTGTTAATATAGAATGCAAAAAGGTTATTTTGTGTAAGTTAAATAAAATAATCATAATAGATAAAAGCAATTTAATTATTTTCATTTTACTGTTAAAAATTTTTTTTTTCATCTCAATTAACATGAGCTCATTAAAGCTGCGTGCATATTTATTACAAAAGAAATGCTGTTGAAATGCTTGCTTTTTTCATTTTTATTTTAAAATTATTTTATGTTTCAGTTTTCATATGAATTTTAGTTTTGGTAAGTTTGTTATGTGCTTTCGTCGCTTTTATTATGTTAAAAATCCTGCAAATACTTCATGCATTTCATCTGAAATGAAAAAAAAAAAAAAAGTTAATAGACCAGCCTTGTTTTTATAGAATGCGGAAAGATTTTTTATTTTTTTTTTGTATAAATTAAATAATATAATAATAAAAGCAATTTATTAATTTTCAGTGTTGGGGAAAGTTACTTTTAAAAGTAATGCATTACAATATTGCGTTACTCCATAAAAAAGTAACTAATTACCTTGCTTAGTTACTTTTTATGGAAAGTATTTTACTTTTTTTTTTTTTATTATGTGCATATGCTGGAAAATACAGTTTTAGAGTAGCTTCACCAGTCCAGTGTTTTTTTAATATTATTTATAGACTATTAAAAAAAGACAAAAAAAAACAAACATGCAAAACATTGTTTACCGTCTTTATGAATCTTTTTTTTTTTTCACTTTCAAGTTTTAAAAAAGTACTTTTTTAAACACTTTTGAGGATATTTCTGTACGAGGTATTGTCAGATTTCAGTAACTTCTTCCAATGATAACTTATAAGTAAACCCACACATTAAATTTAATTTGGCTCTCATTTCATTCACTTTGCTTGACATAGAAGTCAAGAAATGACTTGCATCTGATGCTGCGTGCATCTGACTGTTAAACGGGCTGCCGGTGACTCAGGCTTGAGTCATGAGTTTAACAGGAGGCAGCGGCGTGTGAATGAGATGCTCGTTATAAAGTTAGTTGTGGAGCGGGTCAGTTGTTAAAAAAAACCTGCGGGACACAAAACGCCTGAGGCACAAAGACCGAACCCAACCACAAACGTTACAAACATATATCTGACACATAACTAAAATGCACTTGGTCCCTGTGTGAAGCTTTGGAGTTATGTATATGATGATCTCATACCAGTTTGTTTACTTGTTTGTTTTTCTTTTCCTTTATTTTTGTGTTGTTGTATAACTGTTCAACAAAGCATGTTAATTGCTTAGAATTTAATTGACAAGTAAAGCATAAAAATGTCACACATAACATATCCACGGACTTAAAAAAAAAAAAATCAAAATCATTTTCGTTTAAATGTACTGAATGAATGTGTATGCCAAGTTTATCTATGCTCCTGTCCTGTAACATTTTTTTTTAAACTTCTTCAGAATATGACAAATGAATTGATAAAAGTACACTTTATGTATTTATTTACGTTGCAAGTGTATATACACTTTTTTTTTAAATCACTTGCTGTTTCAGATTTAGAGTAAGAAGATGAATTGATAAAATACATTTTATTTATATTTATTTATAATTTGTATTATTTATAATATGTATTTACATTTTTAAATTCCAAAATGTATCAAAAATACAAATACTGCATATGTAGTCTCTTAATGTATACTGTATGTTAATATGAGCTCATTAAAGCTGCATGTATCATTATTACAAAATAAATGCTGTGTAAAATAAGTCCAGATAGTTATGGTAGTTATGATTTTATGGAACGTAATGTGACAGAGTTTTAAGATTAGTAACACTAAATAGTATTTTTATAGTGTCTGAAGTAAAAGTGAGTGCTACACCATGAAAAACTTGATTAGTCCCCCCCGCCCCCTTTTTGGCATTTATTAGTTAACTATTTCCTTGGTTGAATTTCATTATTATAGAATTATAATTTTTTTTAATTGTTAAAAATAATTTCAGGTGGAGTTTAATATGTCACACTGTTCAAAAACTACATCATGTCTGTATCTGTTCTCCATGGATGTGTGCGTGATTCAGACGGTTCAGATAGTTATGGTAGTTATGAATTTATAAAAGTTTATAGAACTTAATGTGACAAAGTTTTAGGATTAGGAACACTAAATAGGATTTTTAAAAAAATGTAAATATGAGTGGTGCTTCACCAGGGATTTGTTTGGCCTTTTTTGGCATATGTACACTATTAGTTCACTGTAACTTGGTTGAATTAATTAATTAATTAATTTAACTCTTTCCCCGCCAGCGTTTTTGAAAAAAGTTGCCAGCCACCGCCAGCGGTTTTGATGATTTTCACTAAAATTTCATGGCCCCCAGAATATTTTGTTGTATGAATATCTGAACATGCAATACATCAACATAAGGAACAGACCCTCTACTTTTAAACAAAATAAATAAATAAAATTATGTTTTATTCTAGCTTCAAGCATTCTTTTTTTTACCAACTCTTGAATGTAGGTAGGTTTCATTAAAAAAAAGCAACATTTTGAGCAAAAAGCTGAGAAAATCGCATTTTTATCAAATATTACATCTGGATCATATTCAGTAATATTACCAAAGCAAAGATGCAGTAGATGGCTTCCATCAGCCATTTATCTCCTAAAGCTTGCACAGGCCTTTAACACTTTCTGGATCGACATTTCACTCGGTAGCATTAGGCAGTTTTCATTTATATGCGGTTAGTGTTGATGATCGCATTATTCTTCATATGCATATGCTTACATATGAGATTGCTCGTTTCTGCGGCTTCCTCGTCTGTGTTTCTGATCGAGGGATTCTAGACTCATTCAGGAGATGCGTAATAGCGCCCCGAGTGTATAACAGTGAAAACACGGAAACCCGGAAAATTCTGTGTTTGGCAGGGAAAGACTTAATGAAAGAGATGCTGTTCAGAGTAGATTGGTATGTCACTTCGCCCAAAACTATTTCATGTCTGCCCATCTGATTTTGCGCCTGTATCTCCGTGATCTGTGTTTCAGACGGCCCGCTGGAGCTCCCCGTCCTGCAGCTCATCCCGACCCAGCGGCAGCTGGTGTTTCGCGGGGACCGTCTGCCGCTGCAGTGCGCTGCCTCGTTCCTCGACCCGTCCGTCAGACTGTCCTGGAGCCACGAGCAGCGTCCCGTCCACACGCTGGAGCACAGAGGACTGTATGTGGAGGACAGCATCATCCACGACTGCTGCCTCATTACCAGGTGAGAGGGACATCATCATATGTGACCCTGCATAAGTAGCTGGGGTATATTTGTAGCAATAGCCAACAATACATTGTATGGGTCAAAATTATTGATTTTTCTTTTATGCCAAAAATCATTTGGATAAATAAAGCATAATAAAATAAATATATCAAAACATAATTTTTGATTAGTAATATGCATTGCTAAGAACTTCATTTGGACAACTTTAAAGGCGATTTTCTCAATATTTAGATTTTTTTGCACCCTCAGATTCCAGATTTTCAAATAGTTGTATCTATTGTCCTATCCTAACAAACCATACATCAATGGAAAGCTTATGTATTCAGATAAATTCAGATAAATCTCAATTTCAAAAAATTGACCCTTATGACTGGTTTTGTGGTCCAGGGTCACATATTCTAGACACAATAATACTACTTTCCTTAGTCTGTTTTTGCTCCAACTGCTGAAATAGTTTCCAACAAACCATAGCGAATTAAATGTTGCGACAAACTGTAGTGGCGTTCCTGAATGGGTTGCCAGGTCTGCGTAAAAAAATCAGCCCATTTGTGTCACTACAACCCGGGGAAGCAGTGTAAAAGTAGCCCAAATCTTGGCAACACTGTGAGTTGCTTTGAATGAATCATTTGAGTGAATGAATCAATGAATCATTTATAAAGGCATTTGCTTTTTTCGGTCAGATTTGGAATGAATCAGTTGAGTGAATGAATCAATGACTCGCTTGTTTCGTGAAAGAATCATGCCTTGTCCAAATACCCACACTTGCAGTCTTTGCACTTGACCACTTGACTACTTATATGACGTATTTCCTGATTTGGCACAAGTGTTCAAGTGAGGATGAAGACCTCAAGTGTGTGTCGAACTTTTCATTACCTGATGGGACACACTTAGTGTTGTAAAAATGCACGCATTTACATAGCTTTATTTTTATTTTAAATACTTTATATTTTAAAATCAACTTCTAAATGTTTGTTCAATAGTCCCTATTACATGACACAATTTAATTTGTGGTGCTTCTAATTAAGTGATAAAAAGCAGTTGCAAATGTTGTACAAAATAAATATCACAACTACACATCTTTGCACCAATAAACGTGCAACACTTTGTTTTTCTACCAAATTATATGTAATATCTAATTATTATATTAATATTTAACTTGCATTGGAAAGGTTTCCGTGACCTCTCGCGAGATCTCGGCAAAAAGTCTCACAATTTATTTCCAGAACATGATGCATGATGGGATACACTAAGCCTCGAATAGCGCTCCGGAGCGGTATTCGAGA